CATCAAAGTGCCACAGCTTGGATTAGCTGCCCACATAGCTCAGCATACTTCCCCCCTATATCTGACCCTCTTCTCTTGCAACCTCCCTAGTTACCATCACCCCTTCAATAATTTTCATCAGGTTTACTGGTTCCTCTGTCTCACCAGAGACTCAATTTCCCTTCCCCAGCCTCAGCCCTCCTCCCATGCCACACAACTTAACGCACCTCCTGCCTACTTCACACGTCGTGTAAACACCCTACCTCCACTTCTCTCTCCTACAATGCTCCTTCTCTTAGTCTTTTCAGTAACTCCCAAACTTACCTGCATCTTTCCCATCCCAATGTACAGTGACATTAATATCACACTTAACTCACTGTCTCTCCAACCACTGACCCTTTTCCTCTTACAGCTGATGTATGAAGTTTTAGTGCTACTTTACCTTAAGGATACCATTAAAGTTACCTCATTCAGTATCCTAGTAACTACTTAGCAAAAAACGTAGTACCCCATCCTTACCTTCATTATCAATCACGTTCAGTATGGGTGTTCATGCTAGCTTTAAAATACCGCTCCTTGGCTTCCAGGATCCTTTCCTTTATTCTTTCTTCAATATGCCCCTGGAGGATCCTCCCCACATACTCCTCTCCAACTTACTGCTCTAATTTCCATTTCTTCATTAAGGTAACATCATCTGTAAATGCAAGTACAGCTACTCCCTGCTGAGGGTTCACAAATACACAAGACCTCTCTTCTTCCATGCAAAATAAAGCTTCACTCTATGTATCTTTCCCATGTTCATTCAAGTGTAGCATAACTAAAAATAAATCTCTAAATCCCCCCCCACCTCCAATTGCATTTTTTTGAAACTGTGGCCAATACCATGATGGTCACTCAGACTTTCATTTAGCCTTCATCTTTGACAGCTCTCTAAAAATTCACAACCAGATTCAATCAAACCTTGAGGATTCTTCTGTATGATCCGAGTGGTGAGGTCTTCCCAGTTCATCCACTTGGCTACAATTCTTGTTCAGACTCATTATCTTAGGTCTTAATACCTTGCTTTCTCCCTAGGGCATATACATATATTCAAAGATGCACACAAGAGATGCCACTGACATACCAAAGTCAATAATAACTTCCTGTTGTAGGTAAACATGAGGTTACAACTCAAGGGTGCCTTTCTTATCACTCCCCACTGCAATAGGCTGCGGCCACTGTAATAACAGTGTAAATAAAGAAACGGATGCTTACTAGAGTAACTACCATTCATCCAGGGTGCATCACACTGCAGATGCTCATGCCCTTCACATTCAGTCTCTTTGGACAGTGGGGGCAGGAAGCTGTGACCTATCTTTAGTCATTCGCAGTCTGTGTTAACTGAAGGTTCAGAAAAAGCAGACTGGGGTCAGATGTGGTACTCATGTTGGACATCAACACCCACAAAAACTTGAATACTGAGAAAGCAAGCAATTTTTCTCAATGTCTTCTGTAAATTATTTCTTAACTCCTCTTAAATTCTTTTGTTGGCTGTATGCAAACCAACAGCTTTTTGGGATAGTGGGAGCTAGGTAGCTTAGCAGCAATCATCAAGATGAACTGAAATCCTGCTCTTCCAAGTATAAACTCTCATAGGACCTGCATTCAATAGTATTGAAACACTTCAGGCAATAGCAGCAGATTGAAGATGTAGGCTGACAACTCCACCTGAGCACAGTGGAAACAAACCTTATGGGTCAGTGAAAGAGGTGCAGTGGATATTTGGCAGATAACATAGTACATCACTACACAGTCTCGTGAGGCAGCCTGGCTCTTCAAAAGAAAGGAGAAGAAATAGTAAAAAAAATTTGGTCCTCTTATTATTAAAAAAAATTCTAGTTTACTTAAGAGCTCAGTCAGTAAAGGATCTCATTTGAATATGACTGAGAAATACAGTAAAGCTAAAGCCACCAACTTACACAAAAATAACTTTCATCAACCAAGAAGTTGTGGCATTC